TATAGTCACTTTAGTTAGAAGCTACTGCATACCAATATGTCTTCTTGGGTAGACTTTTTTATACGGAATACAGTGTCATTTCGCAACCAAAGAGTTGTTGTTGCACTGATATTGGTTCCAGCAACACATCAAACATTTTTCTAGCATTTTCTGTTTTTAAAGCAAGTTTATTTGTGGTAATTTGAATGAAAGAAGTTTTCAGTTTCGGTTTTTGGTTTATTTTGTTAAAAATGTTATTAAATGTCAGCAAAGGAAAGCGTCTTCAGAAAAACAGAGACCAAATTGGTACTTCTAACAGTTCTTAGAAATTGGTTTAGAAAACTGTGAAAACAGAAGAGGAAAAAGTTGAAAAACAAAATGTTAATTAAAACATGAATAAATTTTAGTGATTCATTGTTTAAAGGAAAACCGCTTTTTTAATTTATCTTTTCTAATACTTAAATATTACTTCTAGTAACTTTGGAAATAAGCTGTTACCTAGATATACATAGGTATAGGTAAAATCTTAACGTGGTAATTAGCAAAAACAGACACTCATATTTGCGTTTAGCATTCTTATTTTTTTTTTTTAATATTTTTACAAAAAGTAAAAAACAATTTTATTTATTTAAAAAAAAAATTAAAAATGGATGGTTATTTKTTGATTTATCTCGTCTGTATAAGCTGAAATACAATCCGGTATGGTCTAGTGGCTAGGATACCTGGCTTTCACCCAGGAGGCTCGGGTTCGATTCCCGGTACCGGAATTTTTTTTATTTACTACAACTACAACTCACCAGATAACTGTTTATTAAATTTATATATTTTTTTAAATATACTTATACAGGGCGATTCAGATAAGATAATGAATCCGACGATCTGGCGATGCAACCCAAAAAAAAAATTCATTTACGCCTTTGATCCAATTTAAATTAGAATTTGCAAGTTGAATCCACTTATGTCAGTTTGACATCAGTGCAGAGAACGATCATTAATGCCATTCAATTCTCGCGGAATGATAGAGAAATTAGAGAAGTATATACGATTATTTTACTTATTACAATTTTATCTTAACAAAGAAATAATTCTAGTGACTCTCAAACCTTGTACCAATATTATTAGTTATTTATTATACAAGACAATAAAGAAATTGTTTATCTACGAGTCAAAAAGGCTAAGTTTACGAGTGACGAAGTCGCAAGTGGACTTTTTTCACGAGTAGATAAACAATTTTTATCGTCGTGTATAATATTTCGTTTTATTTTGTACACACCTACCAGAGTTTCTTAAATATAAACAGTAGCTAAAAATTGCTTTATTGCACAAGACGATAAAAAAGTACTTTATCTACTGAAATAAGTTGATAAAATATAAACAGTAGATAAAAATTACTTTATTTCACTAGACGATAAAAGACTACTTTATCTACTGAAATTAGTTGATAAAAGCACTCTTTAACATTGAGTACAAAATAAATAACATTATTAATACTTAATAACAATTCTGTGAGTTTTTTTTTCTGGATTACACTATTTCTGCACTATTGTATTATCAGGTCAATTATTAACTCCAAGATTGTAAAACCTCAAAAGTTACCAATACTAGTACATATAAACAAAAATAATATTTGCTCGAGGGTAATCGATTATTTAGAATTTAGATTTTCATCTGCTTATCGCATTACTAAAAATCACAATCGTTTTTATTAATTTTGTTTTTATTTTTGTTATTCTCTTTACTCATTACTTTTAATCATTTTACTTTTATTGTAGAGATATAAAGAAAAAAAAATGATCTGGATTTGGCATTGAACCACAAGTTTCGAGGTGGTGTTGATTTATAATAGCGACAATTTATTTCTACTATTAATAATTATAAATTTTTATTTTTTCGAAAAACAAAATGCAATTTGTTTTTAGCGGTTACTACCGAAATGGCCTTATTGTAAAAATAAATGTTATATTAAAATTACATTTGGGATAAATACTTTAATACCAGTCTCCAATTAAATATCCGACACTGCAATTTAACACTTTATTCATTTCAGTGCGATTAAAACGGTTGAATTTCTAAAAAAATTGTGTCGCTTCACATTCTTTGTTTTTTTACCAACTAGGTTGTGTGTACTAAATCCATTTTACAAACATAGACAGCCTATCAAAAGAGTCAAATTCAACCTGACACACCATTTCTCCAGCCAAGTCCAATTACACAGATCTGTCTCCATTGTTACCTGTACCTACCTGTCTTCGTGTTTTTCTGTTTGCAGGTACATTTGAAAGCTCATCCACACATGTATGTGCAAATAATACTCAACGAGCACCTGCCACAGCTACTGGTTGATGCTGTGTAGGTTTCCTAGCAACATAAGATCAATATAACAATCAAACGCGCAGCGAAACGACTACGCCCTGGTTCTTAAATACTCTCGATGCTGCGACCCAGAATGGACGAAATAAATTGGGGACCTTAAATTTGTTTCACTTCACTCGTGTTATTAACAAAAATAAAAAAAGGGGATGCGAATTGGGCGGACGTAAAAGATTCGGAAATGGATGTGAATCGGGCCGCTGGTTTCAATCTATCAACGAGATTGGACTGTGACATAATAAATCTTAACACCCACATACGGGCATCATGGCGTGGACTGGACAAATGCGTAACAAAATTTTGACGAATTATTGAAGAAAATAAATCAAGCTTCATTGGGTTTGCGTTTGGGAAGTCGTCGATTGCCGGCGGACATGACGATTAAAATGAATGAGGAGGAAGGTGAAGGAATGGGATATTACTCAACTTCGTTGATTATTCACAAGGAGTACACAGACTGAGTCATTTTACTAACAACATTAAAATTTTACACAAGCTGTTCCTCTCAGATGTACCTACAAGTTGATTTTAAATAAAATAAACTAATTAACGTTTTTTTAAATTATATTCGCACAAAATCGTTTGTAACAATATTTAATTTTAAAAGCACTATGAAGAAAATGTTTTTTTTTATTTTTCAATAAATTTTTGCATTGGGTGGTGAACATGCATTTGTGAATTTTTTCGTTATTAACACCATAAAGTAATGTTAAATGATAAAATAAAAAAAGAATTATGTCCTTTATATAACATTTTTTACAGAAGAAATCATTTTACGACGTTTAGCGCTATCTATTACGAAATCTTATAAATTTGATTTTATGGGAGTAGCGGACAGATGGCGTCTTTTATCTAAAATTAGATAACATTTGATTCTTAGTCATAATTAAACCAAATGACGCAATAATTAATTGAAATACGTTGTTTATTTCAATCATGTGTGATATTAACATTAAAAATAAACAATTAAATTTTACTTTAAAGTGTGTGAAAAACTGGTGCAATAATTGGCCTTTATATACCGGTAAACTGAAATATATTTTCAATTGTCAGGATGGCCGAGCGGTCTAAGGCGCCAGACTCAAGGTTACCTTGCCTGCATAGCAGGTTTGTATGAGCGTTCTGGTCCTCTCTGAGGGCGTGGGTTCGAATCCCACTCCTGACAAAACTTTTTTCTTTTTTTTTAATTAAATTTTGCAAAAATGTAATCGTGGATTTAAAATTTAGTATTTGCTTTACCTAATATTTCTACTTTGTAAAAATGCCAAGTGTAAGCGTTCATGACTGAAATTTAGTGAAATGATGAACCGTGGAGTGGCAGCACTTTCTGGAAGCTCAAAGCTCCTCCCCTGGTAACCATGGCGACAGCTTCCTCTTTTGTTCTCTTTAGAGCTTGACGGTTAGAGGGGTGTTATATAAAATCACGATCAAAGCCAGTGACGGAGTTGATAATTGGAGAAATTAATAAATTATAGCATTTATACCGTGCRATTAAAAAAAAATAAATTGGAGTAGGCGGTGATAGATGGCAACTCTGATTTTTGACTTCAAATGTCAGCGGAAACTTTGACAAGTTTAGGTTTTATTCATTTTGATTTAAATAATGTTCGCTTTAGAKCAGAAAATTTTTATTGTTGCAAGTTATTATACAATAATGCTGTGCAAGACGAAAAATGTGAATGGTCATTTTCACTTATAGGTTTGTGTAGAAAATTTCCAGCAAAAATTGTTACCAACAGTAGAATTTTTTTTTGATCGCACGGTATCAGTTTTGCATTCTAAATACATTTTATTCAACATTGATATGTTTGTAATTATCTAAGTCTTAATTTACATAATAAAAACTGTTTCACATTTAATGTAAGTTCTTGAAAAGGAAATATTATTTTAGCAATAAGAAAGTAAAAAATGTTATTCATTTTGGCTCAGACATCTTATAAATAATTTCTACACAAAATTTAAGAAGTGTGATAACGGCTTACAAAAAAAAAGTGATGAAAACCTTTAGAATGATTCTAATAAACTTTCACGCTAGACGCGAAATAACAGTTTTATTATAATTACAGGGTGCGCCAGTACTCGCGCCCCAGAGAAAATTTTCAAGTAAGGTAAGATACCAGGAACATGAAAAAAATATTTAAAAAGTTCTATCTCTCACAAAATTTTGACATTTATTTTTTGACATTTGACATTTTTTTATATCCATTTAATGATACTGATGATTTTGTATATGTTTTTTTTACAATTATTTAGTAAAGGGACAAAAATTTTGCCAATAAAAGCCACAAATAACATTGAACAGAGATACAATTTAGGATACAGTTTCCTTATTTCCTCTTTTAATAGCCTATAGCAAAAAAACTTGGAAAATTATTTTTCCAACAGAAATAAATAGAGTCAAAGTGCAAACTTTAAACCCTCATAACTTCGAAATTTTTATAGATAATTTTTTTTTAAGATTTTTTCCATGTTCCTGGTATCTTACCTTATATGGCATTTTTATCTGGGGCGCGAGTTCTGGCGCATCCTGTATTATATACGTACAAAAAGGAAGAAGTTTTCTCTTTTTTTATAAAAGCAATCATACGCACAGGTCAAAGAACCTTCGCTACGCCACTGCCTTTAACCCTAAGCATTTTCTCAATGGGGTCGCATCTGTCAATTTTTCGCGTCTAGTTCAACAACTAGTGTTGTAGTGGTTTAGTATACAATGACAAATACACTAAACATTTAAAACAACATAATAAAAATATCAGTGACAAAACTAAAAGCTTTTTAACCAAAAAATTACCAATATAGTGATAAAGTGTAAGTGATTTAATGCAACAAATAATGTGTGTGAGCTTTTAAAAAATTTCAGTGTTCGACTGGGAAATAATTAAGCAACAAACAACAAATAGTATGAAAAAAATTATTTAAATTATTAAATTACATACATAATTAATAATATTACTACTAAAATGTTAAGATGAAAGTGAGCTGAGAAGAAACCTACTAATATTAAATTAAGTGAAATAATATAAAAATAGTTCTAAAATCGTGGATTTATGTAAAAGGTCATGAAATCATTCGAATGTGAATCTTCTTCAGAAGGTGATGAACCCACCATTCACCCCATCTCACGGACAATAGCACAGCCTCCGCAATGGCTGCGCGGGAATTCTGCCCCCGGCTGGGGGTGGCAAACTGGTGTAAGTAAAGGGAACTGTAACAAAATACAAGAAAATATCAATTTAGTTTAAAATTATGTGATTTGTTTAAAACATTAGTTAACAAATATTACCTACCTTTTATTTTCAGCGTCATTTATCTTTCATTTCCTTTGAAACGCAATTAGTTATAATAACTTCCACACGTTTAATCCCTAATTAATTAAATCCAGTGTGGCTCCTCAACTGGTGGTCCAAGTTCATCATCAGGCGCCTTAGATCAAACGAATTTCGCTCCCTTTACATCAACTGAAGAGGGTCAAATCCCCGGTAGACGAACCCCTTTAGGCGCCGTGGGATTAGGTGGTTTCTACTTCCAAGGCTGTCAACCCAACATCGCTAGCCATGGGCCACCCTCTGACGAGAATAACCCCGACCCAACCGACTCCGCCCAACCCAACCGGTAAATAAGACAAACACATCATCTATCAATTATTTAAACCGATTTTAGACCACAACATTCTCGGGCATCCCAAAATTCCCAAAACGCCAATCCCTCCAAAGCGAAGAACAGGCAGGGGAAATCCGTCCGATTAAACATCAACGCCAGGGAAAGACGACGAATGCATGACTTAAATGACGCTTTAGACGAACTTAGAGCTGTGATTCCGTATGCACATTCGCCGTCGGTCAGGAAATTATCAAAAATTGCAACAYTGCTCCTAGCTAAGAATTATATTCTAATGCAAGCGAATGCTTTAGAGGAGATGAAGAGGTTGATTGCGTACTTGCAGGGAACTGCAGGAGGAGCGGCAATTGTGGCTCCGCCTGGGTTCGACCTGCAAGGGTTTCCTGCAGCTGCCAAGTTCCTGCAACAGCAGCAGGCTTTACAAGCCGAAAATGCGAGAAACAGTGAAGGAGGCAACAACGGAAGCTCAGGCTCAGCAATTTGAATGAAAGATGCTCAAGTTTTAAAACGAAATTTCTCTAGACTCTAAAAATGGTTTAATTTCAGAATGCAACTCAAAAATATAATAGCGAGTAGGTGCTAGAATAAATCGTGAAAGTCTAGCTTTTATTGGTAGAACCTAGTCATAACTTATAGTTTTTTTATTTAACAGTAGAGGCGATTTATTTAAATGGTTTAGCTATAAGCGAATAAAAATACAAAAGCAATATTAATGTAATYAAACGTATATTGTAGCAATAATATTGRTAAAAAATTACTCGTAACAATCAGGTTCTCACRGCATTCAACTGCTAAATGTCCAGAAATTTCTAGTCAATTGTAATTAGTGATGTGTGATGTAAAATAAACTGATAGATAGTTAGATACATTTGTAAAATAAAATAGAAAAATAAAATTTATGTCCACAAAATTGTTTGTTTGTTGTAATTAATTTACGTAATTAAATWCTTGTAATTGCATGCACACTATYTATTTGAGAAGCAGTCAAAGCTTTTACGACCAGATAATATTAAATATGATGCGATATGTTAATAAATAAGTGACATTAGGAGTTTTACATTTTGTACAGCTTATTGAAGTACTGTTATTTGATCTAAAAATCACAGGTTCATTAGAAAAAGGTGTGTCACTGACTTTCGTTTCTCAGGCAATAAGTGTAGCTGATAACGATAACGAACAACGCTAATTACGTTAGCTTTTGTATACACTTAGAACATAAAATCCATAAAGTCATGTCTACGCCAAATAGAAAACAACTGGCATTGCATTCATTCTTAAATCAGTGTCTAATCTTGATATAACTTGAATTTATTATAATTTTGTGCACATATTAATTTTTTAATTACGTTTTGTATTTTTTTATGGCTTTTCTTTGTAAAAATATGCATTATGTTTAAAGTTTAAATTTTATTGCCAATAACTATGATACCACAAAAAATGGTTTTTAATCAGAAGAAATATCATTTTATCCTATTTTTTTTAGTTTTATTCCATTTTACAAACTTTCAAAAATTATAGACTTTCATTATTTTACAAAAAAAGATTTGTACTTACCTAATATTTTAACCAGCATATAATATGCCGTGTTTTTAACCAAGCTAAACACTGTTTTTAGTTTCTAAAAACGAATAATTTAACAAATAATAATGGTTCCAAAAAAAATATTCCCTCTGGTTACTACTAACGATTACATACAATGTTTAATTAAAGTTTAGTTTACGTAAAAGCAATATTAAAACTGCAGTAAATTAGGTTCATGGTATATAAACCTATAATTTATTAATTTAAACAAGATTAAAGTTAAAACTTTAACTTGAGAAAAAATTATGTAATTGTTATCAAATCAATAAAAGTAAAAATTTAATTACCGTTTTGTGTCTTTAGACCGGTGAGTTTTATAAAAAATTAATTGCCTTTAATATTGATTTAAATCCCAAGCAACGATTGTTACAAAAATAGTTGTTATGGAGTTAAATCGGAATTAATAATATATAATAATACTAGTGTATAAGCAAGCCTTTAAAACATGCACGACGAGTAAGTCTAAGTGTWGTAAAGGCGCTTATAAACGAGTGTTGCTGTTTTTTATTATACCTGCCCATTTACGATCTTATATGAGCATTGAAAAAATGTGAATTTACACAATCAAATTATCAAAGGTTGTTTGTGAATCGTTTTCGTAGAGACGGTTACTAGTTTATGTTGTTAAGCACATTTTTTTACGTTGTAATTGATCCAGACTAGAGTTCCTATATTAGAACAGTTGGGACACTGAATGTCAGTTTTCCAATTTTTCTTTTATATACGTCGGCTGACGTATAATAACAATAAAATTGGATACAAATCAGTGGCGTTTCGGTAAAATTTAACAAAAAGTCAAATAAATTTGTAAAATAAAAATTGACCTCTGTCCTCTGTCATTATGACCAATTCTGCTGGGTCCTATTGTGTTAATATATAAAGAAACTGTGAGTTGTTTTTGTTGCCACCTTGCTCCAATGCACGAGACAGTGTAAGACAATAAGTGGAACTTCTTTAAAACTAGCGTGTTTTAAAACTGGAGTGTGGGCCCCAAAAGTAAAATTTATCAAAAACAAATGTGAAGCTTTGACATGATCAAGGACTATTATTCCGTTGTTTGGAGTGTTTTATTTTATCTACGTCAGGTCAGGTCAAGTCTAATAATTTCGTAAGTTTCAGGTTTTAAAACGTTTTCTGGAGACACTTCAAGTTTTTATTACTCATGGTAAATGCTATATACAGCAACTGTGTACACATAATTTTTTCCTGTCTGGCCGCATCTCAATGTCCATTTATCTCCTACGTCCCTGACCAAATCTGACGTAAAATTATGTCAATTTGTCAATAGGACAAAATTTATAACCTTAAAACAATTTTTGAAATAAACTTGACATTAGTTGCGACGAAAAATTTTAATGAAAAAGGATAGAACGTTATATACCTTATCCACATAATACAAAATTGGCTCGACTGTCTTAATTCAATTATACGTTACTTGTTACGTGAAGGTAGTCAGTCAACAGAATTCATGCAATTTGAAAAATTTTTAATTGTGAAAAAGTGAAAAATTTCTTATAACATAAAATTGCAGGGAAGTATTTATTAGTTCAAATTCTAGCAGTATTGTGTTTTTGGCTATCGCTGGCATTTTTCCATGAGTAAACAACTTCGGTAACCTTAAATTATTTAAAAACCTTTTTTTTATATTACTCTCGTAAAGATCGACCCCGGGATTTGTTTGTGTTCGTGACCTATTTTGAAGTAAACTCGATCAAAGTTTTTTTTCCCACCGACCATAATTCTTCCGCTAAATTTCTCTGCGAAATCAGTAGTGATCACTTCCGAAACTTCAGAACTACAATAAAATACACAATGGATCTTCCTGTAGTGGGTCTAAGTGGTGGAGCGGTCTTTGAGTAGCCCTTTCATCAAGCGTCAATCAATCAATAATGTAATTTCGCCGCCAGATGCAACCGTTTTTTTATTTTTTGTGCGAAAAACTGCATTTGCATCGTCCTGAATGTTTAAATCGACTTTCGACAGTACGTACTGTAGGAAATTGTTTCAACTGTATGCGTAAAAAAAACCATTTGTGAAAAGCGTCTGGTTTGGTAGTTCCGCAGGAAATTAATGTGTCTCTAATCTTTTTAAATGGATTGTGAAGTCATGGAGGTACAGCTTTTTTTTAATAATTTTTATTTTTAAGTTTCAGGTAGTAGTTTCTGAGGAGGACAAGTTTCATCTGTTCTATATGAGGCAAAAGTCCCCATTTCCTACAATTACATCAGTGTGTTATCCTGTAAAACGAGCTTCAGGCTTCAGCTCATTCACACATGTTGCTTCAGATTAATTTCAAGCGTAATACATTGCTTTATTCGTGTCCGAAGAGAATTACAGCTTGSTGGACAACATTTCAAAGAAAATCTGAACACCTGCTCCAAAAAGCGTCTTAGCTCACGTAGTTACTCAGATTTGAATTGCGGAAGGTCATGACTTTATGGATCATAATAAAGCGGTAATAATATTGAAGTAGGATTTATGGCAAGAKATTTAGTGACATTTTACTACGGCGTAACAGTATCGTCAAACCGATAATTAATTTCAAACGTGATATAGACCCACCCGGTGGGAAATCACGAAACAAAATTCTATGCGAAATTATTGGAAGCTTTATCATTTTTCCCTTAAAAAAAGCCCACATGCAAATTGGGAACATAGTAAACAACAAATAAAAATCAAGTTTGAAAGTTAATAAACATTCACTGTTATTCGCATTATGGAAACGTGAATTATTACATGACGGTGGAGTTCGAAATAGGTTCTTTACCGGCAACTTTTTAATGCAGTTTTATTTTCATGTTCACTAAAAATTGGCAGAAATAGACTTTTCAGTGTCAAGGTTGAGTTAATGCAAGAGATCGCTTTAATCTGTACCTAAATAGTGTAGTTTTTGATCGTTTATACAAAATAATAAAGCAATGATTGCTGCCTWTTTATATTTTATTTTTACAMTCACTAGAATAATACACCAACTGTAATTATGTGTAAATAAAATAGGTATACAAATTTTGGTGGGAATTTTTACCCTTTCCGGAATAACCTGATTCTTCGTGGTGATGAAATAATAATTTAAATCTTGGTTTTAATATACTATTGCACTATAAATACTCGTACATCAATTTATGCATCCATTTTATATTTTTTTGTTTGTTGCTTTTATTTTTAAAATTAACGTAAGATCAATACTCAGTTGATATGCAAATATTCAATTTTTAAAACTTTTTGTGAAAATATTTTTAGAACGAATGTTATACACAAAAAAGTAGTCTGTTTTTGTTTTTACCAATTTTCAAGTCAAAATTTTTTACGGCCATAGCGTGTTGACTTTTCTAGATTATACAAGACTGGGATAATTTGAACAAAAAGAGCGTCTTACCTTACTATAAAATATTTATTAGAAAAGAAAAAGTTATTCTGTAGATGCGTTGAGAGTACAAGCAGATATTATGAAGCATGACAATAAGTTTTGTATAATTTATTTGAAATGAGCTCAAAATTAATAAAAGTTCTAAATTTTTCTTTGATTTTAATTTTAAAGTTTATTTTTACAAACTCAAATGCACTCTTAATTAATTGCCCTCTTTCTCACTCATAATTACATGTTACACACTTTTTTTCAATTTTTTACTAAAAACTAAAGCATGCTTAGCAAACCTGAATCACAAATTGAGACCAAATGTTTACTGGTCCTTTATTTATTATTTCTGCTTTCACACTTTTTTAAATAAATTTTCGAAAATGTATTTCCGTATTGTCATTATTATTCTGTGTTACGAGTATGAGTACCTAGTGATCTCAAAGTCAGAGATCATATTAATCAGAATTTAATTAAATGTACGATGTTTTACCACATCATCTGATGCTTTCTTAACATTTTTAATATCATGATTTCCTGACACAAACAATAATTTTTATATTTAGGTAAGTTTTAGTTAATTAACTAACTATCAAGCGACTCATTTCTTAAAAATGAAATATCTATAAGAAGTAAATAATTTCAGATTCACCACTGTCTATTTTAAGTCATTGAAAACTGAGATGAAATTTACAATCTATCAAAAAGCACATGATTATAAATACCTATATCAGACAATAGGTGCTAAAAAATATAATAATACATATATTTATTAACACCTACGTACATAAGCACCTTTGTTCTTGCTCTATACATATAAAATAAATGGTATAAAGATACTTAGTTCGAAATTTCTTGACGGTTTATATCTATTAATTTTCTCGTAGCGTGACCAGCTTTAGTGATTACTGAATATAACCTGCAAACTAATGTTAGCAAATAGAGAATAAATTCAACCTTAATA